GGCCGCATTTTGTACTCCTGTGCTGCTGCCGGTGCTTTATTGAAGGGCTTTATGTGCGGCTGCAGTTCAAGCCCAAGTGTTCACAGTCTTTCTGCTTTACAACCCCAAATCTTGTTTCAGTTCATGGTCATGATTGTGCAAGAAGTATGAGTCTGAATGTTGGTGTAATTCTGTTTTTCTCTAGCTATTCATAGCAAATAACCTATTTTGATTTTTAATAAGTTAAAAATTAAAAATAAATTGGTTGATACATAAAAAAAGCACTTAAATACTTAAAAAATCTTAATTTTAAAAGGCTTCTTTTTCTACATAAATGCATGTACATATATGGTTCCCTCTGTCAACCTGTTACCGTATCTTATCCCCCTTTTTTTTCTAACTTTGCGATACCTTTGCTGGGCAGCAGTCAGGCTGCACAATAGTCTGTTCAAGCAAACATGGTGAGGAGTTCAGGAGAAACAAAGATCCAAATCAGTATCACGAATGTGTGCTAGGAAGCACTGGGTTTATAGAGCACGTAATGGCTGTGCATGTCCCCCCCTCCAGCGCCCGAGCGGACACTGTCCTGGCCCTGCGGCCCATGCGCCCGCACCCTGGCCAGTACCAAGCCCACTCCCGGGACACTCCGAGCAAGGCAGAGAGTTTAATCAGGAAGCAAAGTTGGTCCATGCTCATCTAGTGCCTTACTCCTACTTTGTGGAGCCACATCCCCAGCTGGGGCAATCAGTAACTCCACTATCTGGGAGGGAAACACTGTGAAAGAAAACTGTGGGGCATGTAAACGTTGCCTGCAAACCAGCACAGACTGTAAAACTTATCCCTGCTGGTCAAAAAGATATGGACTGGGGTGTCAGGCAGGGACTTGATGTATTGCCTAGTATTTGAGTATGAAAATTAATAGGGAGCATAATCATTTCATTCCTCTGAGGAATGAAAATCCATGTGTAAGAAGGAGTACTGGTTAGTCAGATCTGACTCTTGGAAATTATGTCAAGTGATATAACTTTACTAGCTGATTACTAGGGACTATTAATAATTAATAGATCATATAAATTTACCAAAWTTTTGTCTTACTAAGAGTTCTTGTATAAATTGTGAAAGCTTGGTGTTCCTGTGGTCTACAATGATCCGTCACCTTTGGATCTCTTTTCTAAGATCTTAATCATTTTCCATGGTAAGGCTGCAACGCTCCTTCATCAAAATGAGCATCATTAGATGTCCTCTCACAGAAGGATGTGTTAGCTGTTAACCATTTTTTTGTTAGTGGAGCATCCATACATATGTGGTTAGAAAACAAGGAAATAGGTACTGCGATTTCATGGTTATTTCTAATTAAGAGGATGAGAGAAATGTTAGAGAGACTAATTTACTCATTAAAAAAGATACACTGTTTTCGATTACAATTCCAAGGTCCTTTCAATGGGGGACTTCTCACATGTAACAAGAGTCTTGATGGTATTCCTTTTTTTTTCATTTTTAATAGCATTTACTTGGTCTTTTTTTTTTTTTTTTTTTTTTTTTGTTTAACTCTTCAAATGTTTTAATTTAGTTTAAATTTTTTTTTTTCCATTCCATCCTACAGAATGGATCCTACATCCACTTTCTCTTTAAAATCTCTTTCTGCATATAACAGTTTGGGAAGGGTAGGTAAGAGAAAGAAAGCAAATATTTTAGACCTTTTTTTTTTTAAATATCTGCTGTTCATGTTTCATGGGGAAGCTTTGTTTGCTCTTGTAATCCAGTAGCGGGTAGTAAATCAATTATAAATATTGGAAAGCACATCCCAGCACTGCTCTGCTTTTCTAAACTGTAAAGGATAAAACAGTACTATGGGAAATGGCTGCAGCATGAAAGCAAGAATATTTCTTCCCTTCAGAATGGAGGGAGTAAAGTCTCAGCAGCAGAGCAAGAGACTTGGAGAGACTTTTTTCCTAAAGTACACAAGCGAATATTAAAAACTAAAAGAATAATGCAGCTTCAATGAGCTTCTCCTACAAGAGTTGTCTACAAAGAGGCTGTTGAGGCTTGATAAACAGCTTAGCAACTTCTTCATGGCCCCTTCTCAATGAGTATGTTCATTTGGTTGTTTTAGTCATCTTTGCAGATTAGAATTGCTTTCCCTTTGGGGAGTGGGAAGCGTTTGTTTCATAGTCTGTTTCTCTACGGAAAGGGTTCTGCTTTGCTGAGTGGCAGCAGCATCTTTTAAAATTTCCAAAATAGCTCGCATTACGGTTTTGCCTGGTGGGTGCACCAGGGTATCAGGATGGAAATCTTTCCTAGCTTGTAGAAGGAGAAGATAAAATACAGCATGAGGTAAGAAAACGTCACTGTATTGGGAAGGGCTTCATATGCTCTCTCCTTTCCAACCTACCGTGGAGTGGACGAGAGTGGAAAGGAGGGATAGTGGCAGCAGGGACTTGGTGTGGGATCCTTTGCTGGGCAGGGATCAGTAGCTCTCCTGGCAGGAATGGGGGGGTCTAACTCCAAGCATCTCAGCCAAGAAACCAACTATATAAACTTAAGGAAAGCAGCACAGTAGCGGATTTTGTTTCTAGCTTGTTGAACAAGTAATTGTTACCACCAGTAGCTGTCATTCCCACCAGCATTTGCTTTTTTTTTTTTTTTTTTAAATGAAAAATACATATATATATATATATTTGTTTTAAACTGTGCAGGTTTGTTTACTTCATGGTTGGTTTCTTTCTCAGCCTGTCAGTGCTAGGTCACTGAGAAAAATGCAGTTAGTTTTGCGGAGAGCAAAATGAGCTGCAACTAAACTACAAAAATGACAACAACAATGCGGCTCCTTCTGATACATGGATTCTTTTTAAATGCACATATGCTCAAAAACTGCTTTTCGAATCACAGTAGGTAAGATTGCTGGTCATTGACTGATACCAGATTGGCTAGCTAGCAGTGGATATTTGCCCATCAGTTCTGTATTTTTTATTAAACTTGACAACTCCAGAACAGCAGCTCTGCAAAGCCATCTGCCCGTTGGCCTTTAGTCCCTTGTGTCACCAGCTGTTCACACAGACGTTAAGGACATAGGTACAGCCACAGCAGGAGTGCGGGGAAGAGAGAGTCCCACCCTTAATTGACATAGAAATGCAAGAAAACCCTCGACAGTAAAGATGTAGTATGAGTTTGAAAGGTGAAAAATACGCTTGGCTGTTCAACTCAGTTCCATTCAGGGAACTTTTCTGATGGATGCAAGTTGGGCCTCTGTAAGCTGTGTCTGCACTAGGCGCGTTTGCCCATAGAACAGTCCTTTCCTGTGCAGTTAAGGCTTAAAAACCAACACGATTTTACACTTTCAGGCCAAATATATCTAGATAGAATGACACCAGGAGTATAATTTCTTAAAGTTGGAAAAAAAAAAATATTGGTCTTTTTGCAACTGTTTTGCTTTGGCTCAAAATGCTTTTTTGAGCTCTCCTGGGCTAGTGTAGTTCTGAAATGAATTGCGTGCACTAGTACTAACAGTAACAAAACCCACCAAACAAAACACCAGTTCTGTTCCCTGGATATTTGAATAAAACAAGCACTTAGGAAGTGTTTTAAGACGACGGAGTTGTACAAAACTCCTTCAGTGGACCAGGTTACCCTGTAATTAAGCCAGTATCTCCAACAGCTCTGAGAAAGCACATGCTGCAGCAGGGAGGAGGGAGCTACAGAAGTTCATGTCGGAGGCTAAGGCAGCAAGGGGCTTTCCTTGAACCCTGCAGCAGAAGCACTGTGCACTGCGCTGAACTCTGCCAAAATGCACAAGACTTGCCAGTCCATGCGTGTCCATGCATTACAGCTGAAGTCTACAGTAAATTAATCCTGCCAACACCTTCTGAACATCCCTCCCTTCCTTCCACRCAAAGGCACCCACTCCAGACGGCTGCTTCCCTGCCCGCCGCAGTCTCCGCTGCCACAGGCAGGATGTGACTGGCAGGTTTTGTCTGCTGGCTTTGTGGCACCGACACTGAACCAGCTCACTGATCACTACTGCCGACTCACACTTAAACAATATTAACTCTCATGCGGGAAATACATACTCTAGCTTTCACCCTTGGTCCAGTAAATCTGACACTTTGCAAAAGTTGCAGAGCAGCTATGAGCACATTAAACCTGGGTAGGGCTCCGTTTGTCTACTGATCTTTAGATACTAAATGGACAGCATCTGGATTTTGGCAGTCAACAGCTTGGAAGGGAACAGAAAGCAAGCTGCTTGTCATGAATAATCCCATCCTTTTTAATTTTCTTGCCTTTTTGTTTATACTGATGGAATGATAATGACATTTTGAGGTTAACTATTAGATTTAAGTAATCAACTTCTTTATTAATGAGCATAGCTATCTGAATTTGGTAGGAATGAATACTATATACCATTTATATAGGGAGTTTGATCATTGCAAGCTATGATAGAATGAAGCTTAAACTACTCATATTTAAATCAAAAAGATCTTATACTGCCTTTTACAAGCCTGAAAACACCACCCAGCAATATCCCCTGATACGCCAGCCTCCTTTGGTTTGGAATTGAACAGTTAAATGTAAGTGTACAGAATGCACTTCTTGTTTAAATAAGAATGCACATCTTGTCTAAATAAGATGACTAAACCTGTAACTTGTATTTTGGCCAGAATTTCCCCCCACCCACCCATTCAGCAGCTCAATACTGAGCAGCTTTTTTTCCATGTCCCCGCAGACAGCACCTTGTTAACTAGGTATAGTTAAGGATTTAAATGGCAACAAAGTATAAAGTTGGAACTTGAAACATTGAAAATCCCTGATGGAAAATTGGGGAATACTGACCGAATGCTCTAGGGAAGACACAAACTTTAAATGCACTTATTTTAAAGAGGCAGTCAGCAGTTGCTTTTGTCCTTTACATTACTTATGCTTCCCCAAGACTGTGCAGTTTTCCTTCACAATCCTGACTCCTTGCTGGGAAGGAAAAAAATCCATCCGTTTAAAAAAAACAGCTTCTTGCAAAGATAAAGACTCACCACATCCATGATCTGCATGAGGCTGAGAGTGAAGTAGACAGTGAGCGGCTGGGAATCATTGGCCACTGGTCGTTCCAGAGGGTTGTAGTTTTTCAGCAGCTCCTTATATAGCTTCCTTTGAAATTCTCCTTGCAGGGACTCTTTAAAGATGGGAGTAAAAACATAATCAGGATTTTACACCAGAAAGAATGCCTGCTTTTCCAGTTATCAGGTATTATGGATCTGCTACTGTATGTGTACCTTTCTGAGTAGAACAGCACAGTAGTTTAAATAGCTACTAGCTACTTAGCTACTACAGCCAAGTGTTATCCCAGATTTGTGACCCTTTCTTTCCATCCCCACCCTGGGAGGGGGACGGTCGCTGTCCCGGGATGGGAGAACCAGAAGGGCCCCGGTCGGGAGCGGACCCGGGGCCCGCGGGGAGGGGACGCGCGGGGTCCCCCGTAGAGCGAGCGCTCCAGAGCGGCGCCAAAATGGCTACAGGTTAGGGCAAAATCACGCGCTCAGGCTGCTGGAGGCTGAAAACTCTTCGGGGAAAGTGTTTTCTGCCTCGTTCTCTGCTGGTGCCGCTATGGATAAGATGGGTACCACTTCCCTGTCAGCCTCAGGCAGGATTTCCATTCTGCCGGGTTTCTGTGTAGAGGAGCGGATCTGCCCGCCGGGAGCGGCGTCGGCAGAGGCAGCTTGGCGAGCCGGAGATGCGSGTCAGCGGCAGGACCGCGGCTGGGCGCGCCGCTCGCTGACCCACCGCGGGCGGCCCTCGCCCTTCYGCGCGCTCCTCCCCGCGCCGCGCAGCGCCGGGCCCGGCCGCGGCTTCACTCACCGCGCAGTAGCGCTGCGGCCAGCAGCGCCGCCGCCAGCCCGCGCAGGCCCATGGCCCGGCCGCCGCTCCGCTCTGCGCCGCTCCGCTCCGCGCCGAGCCGCGCAGAGCAGCGCGGCCGCCGCGAGCAGCCGCCGCAGCTCGCCCCGCTGCTGCCCGCTCCRGCAGAGCTCGGCAGCGGCCGCTGCTGCCGCCTCCCTCCGCACGTGATGGATTTCCCTCCTTTCCCGAATCCTTGCGGGTCCCCCCGCGGAGGGGCGGGCGCTGGGCAGAGCCGTCCCGCCTTTATGGGCACGGCGCGGGCGGCCGCTGCGCCGTGTGCGAGCCCCTCGTCGCCAAAACTGGACATCAGCCAGCCCTGAGCACAGCGAAGGTACCCGGCGCCAGGGCAAGGCCGTGTCCCCAGGCCCTTCGTGCCCTTGTTCACATCCCTGCTCGCCTTAGGCAGCGATTTGGCAGCAGTCATATTTTGGGGAGGAGAGAGACATGCACAAAATGATGCAGGTGCTCAAAGCACGCATGGCTGTTAAATCCTCAGTGGGGATAAGGGGCTGGGAGCTCGGGTGCTACATGTTCTGTCTGGACACAGGAAAAATCCCCCTGGCCAAGGGGCGCCACTGTTAGAGTTTGACAAATGCCAGGCTGAGTAAAATGATGCCAGAGCTCCTGCCTGGTGCCGTGATAATGTGCTGCAGTTAGAAAGCAGACCTAGGAAATYGGTGGGTTTGTTCTGTCATTCCCACTGCAAATTAATGCATATTTTCAAGCCCCTGCATGGGTTATTGCCCTCAGTTCAAATCCCTGCCCTTCATACCCAGTTGTGGCAATAAGAGCATCTAGCTAGATGCTCTTAAGGATGATAGTATTGAAGAGTCTCTCCACTTGCAAAGGGAAGCCAAATGCTCATTGTACAGATAATCCAGCAAGCGGCAGCATTGTAGTCTGCCTTGATATTCAGCTTTAGAAATCGAGGTGACGTTTTTGGCTAAAGCACTGGCCTAGTTACGTAGCTGCTGTTTAAATATTTTTAAAAGTTGAGTGCAGAACCGAGGCAGCCTGCAGATCCCAGACATTTCGATGTCACGTGTTTTGGCCAGTTAAACACAGCAGCCCCGAAGCAGATTCCCCTTTGCCATCTCCCTGGGGTCATGTAGCTGTCTCGGCACGTGTTACCGAGGGATACTGGGAACCCGCACGTGGAAGGGGTAACTCTCTCCAAGACTTCTAGCATAGGGACTTACACTGACAGATATCTTGGGTATTTCTTTGGAAATGCTCCATAACGTTGAGTTACTATTTCCTTTTATTTCACTTGTTTGTTTTCTGCAAGTTCCTGACCTCTTTGGATCGGCAAGGGCAGGTTGCTGGAGTTGCTGTGTGATTTCACGGGGAAAGCGGCGTTGCTGCCTGCGGGAGCGTGACCCCACGCATGGCCAGGTTCTACCCAGGCTTCACCGCCTCGTTTTGTCAAGGAACGCCTTCCTCTGCTCCTGCTACCCCCTGCTTAGTTCACAGAGGTACCTCAGATCTCTGTGGGTGCCCGTGAGTTGTGTAAACTCTTTGATGGAAAACCTGGAGAGGAAATGTGTGGTTCAAGGCTGACATCTACTGTTGGCTCCTGCAGGGCTGCCCGCTGCCTTGTCGATAGCTCCCTCCCCACAGCGGCCCGGCGGGGCTCAGGGCCACCCGTCAGGGCTCTGCGGATTCCCGAGGCCGGCTACAGGGCTCCGGGCCCTTCCCTTCAGCGCCCGCCAGCCTGTGCCACCCATCCAGCCTTGCTGCAGACCTGTCTGCCCCCGCCTGGCTTCCCCATGGCGCTGGGCCAGCTTCCCGGAGCCTTGGCCACATCCCGATTGCTGCTCCCGCCGGCTGGGCCGCCTGGATCTGCAGCCCCGGTGCCCGAGGCCGAGCCTGCTGTGAGGCAGCCGCTCCATGGCCTGCGGGAAAACGCAGGCGGGGAGGAAGCCGGGRTGGCCTGAGGACACCCGAGAGGTCTCCGAGTGAGGCAGGGGCTTGTGCAGCCAGCCTTGGGAGGTGGCATCCGCAGCGGCAGAGTGGGGCCCCGCCAGGCCCCTCCACACAGGTAGCTGGCCAGGAGGACACGAGGGTCTGAGCTGTCCTCAGTCCCCAGGCAACCAAAAACCACCGTCTTCCCCATCCAGCGGTTGGGGTTGTTCGGGCTCCTCCGGCAGATCTGCTGAGTCTCCCCTCCTTCACCCCATTTCCTTAGATTCTGGTGAGATCTTCTGAATTGTTACCGATCTAATCGTAAGAAATGTTAGTTTTTAGTAGCTTTAGATGCAAAGCACAAAACTTACTCAGTTTTTTTTAGAACAGATCAATGCAAACATAGTTGCTTGTTAGAAGAGATTAAAAAGAAAAACTCTTCAGAGAATGGTGCTGAAATCCAAAAGCTCAGTAGTGTAAGAAGTGAGCAAATAATTCATAACTATTTCTCTGATAAATCTTGACTTCTTTTTCTGTTGATGGTGATCTCTTTTTTTCTTATTCTTCCCTTTTTATTGGTGTTAGCAAATTTAATTTTACAGAAGCTTTAGAAATTCCACACCAGATAGCCTTTAATGGAACTCATAATTCAAACTCCTTGATTAAAATGTGCTTTTTAAAGACTCGAGGGCAGTCCAGGCAAATGCATTCCCTGTGAATGATGGAGGTTTGCAGGCAGAGAGCAGTCCGATTCCGGAGTGAACATACACAGCCTCAGTTTGCTGTCTGCAGACATCCGGGCTAATAGAAGTTGATTGCACCAATGTTTATAYGGATTAGTTGGCAATGTTACTAGTGAGGAAAGGTAAATACATACTGTGCTTAAGTCATCTAATAGCCTTGACTTGCATCGCAAATTATTTTTGTAAAAGCATACTATATATAATGAAAGATGTGGAGTTATCAGAGGTTCTGCACTTTGATGCTATATTGACTGTGATGCCCACCARAGATAAGACCCACTTTCCCTTGAGCATTAATACCACTTTCTACTTTTCACTGTACAGCCAGGTGATTCATAGAGAGATGTTACTCCTCTGCATTACTTTTTTAACATGATGATCAATGCAAACTCATTTTAAAATTACAGGTAAATGGCTGTAGAAATTCTTGGGGGCCTCCCAGCCCTCTTCCTACTTCTAGTTGCTTGCTTGCTAAAATATAAGCAATCTATGAATAGCAGTGTGTTTTTGTAATACATTCAACATAATTAGACAAAGTCAATTGTGTGTCCATATACTTGTGAATACCCAATATATTTATGGAGAAAACAGTATGCACAGAACATGTATCTCAGACAAAGTCAGGCATAAGAATGTGTTGATGGTGATTGCATTTATGTCAGAATATTGTCTCTTGTTTCTGTGTTTGTTGAGCAAAGAAGTGCAAAAGACCAACACAACTTCTTACTCAGGTTGAGTGCGTTCTCACTCAACTCACTACTGCAGACCTATTTTGAGAGTCTGAGTGAGGCACTGAGCTTTATGAAGATGACTATCAGCTTCCAGAGTAATGTGTATATATATTWAAAAAAATCCTAATATATGATGTCTGTTTATACCTGTAGAGAACGCTCTGCTTTCATCTATAAGACTGATYTAGTACATTAGTCAATTAAAGAACCAAGGGTTGAAGAAAATAAAGAAGGACACAATTGCAGAATGCTTCCCTTGCAGGCAGCAGAGTTGTGCGGTCAGTGCAAGGTGTTGCAGAGGTTACATGTACCCCTATGCACTCTGCGTCTCCCTGCCCAGACGTAGCGATGGGCAGAAACACTCAACTCAAGTGATAGGAATGATAAGATAGTCCTGAGATTTTGCGCTCATTGGAGAAGGGACGATACTATATGCAGCTAGATACAGTCAACTAAAAAGCAACTGCAGTGCTTTCTGACTTGTGTCTAATTATTGTATAACTGCARTGGCCCAGGACTTCCGTGTCATTAAAAAACACGGCTCTCAAATTCCAAATTCAAATTCCAAATTCCAATTCTGTATCAGAGGAGAACCTGGGCCCATTGCAGCTAAAGCTAAACACATGCGGATATTCCTGCTGCTGACAGCTGGATCTCAATCACTATCCATCAAAGGAAGCAGCTGCAGAGGTTTCTTAGYATATCTATCCTATATATGTTTTGTGTTGAAAATTATAACAATTTTTTTGCATCATGCTTAGCATAGCCGTGCTCTCATTTCAGCCTTTGTCAAGTCCTGTTGCATCTTTTTGTAGTCCCAGGGCTTTGCTTTCATTTCTCACTGAGACAGAGCCACAGGATCACAGCTCCATGTGCAGTGATCCTGCTGCATCACTGTGAATGCCAGAACGTYGGCAAAACTTCTTCACTCCAGTTAATTGTAAATGAGTGTACATAGTTGAACGTTTGCATGAGGTCATTAAAGCTGACAGGAAATCTACATTTCAGGCCTGCAGCTTTAATGGTTCCTGATCTATAAGCGTCTGAAAAATCACCTTTAAAAAATCTCGTCCTAAAGCAACACACTACAAATTTTCCTTTGTTAGGAAAGTAGTCTGCTGTATTTTTAATAGCTAACAAACATGCATTCTACTAAAAGTGGTATTTCTATCTGAAAAGACCATGTTAATAAGGCCTTTGACTCTAAAGCTAAGCTCTAATCCTTTCAAAGACAGAAATGTTTGGAATGTGACATTTTGCCTGAAAATGCTAAATATTGTTGGGCCTAAACTGACAGCAAAAATGAAAGATTTTGGGGTACAGATGAAACACAGGATATGAAAGAGGACAGTTTTACAAAGCCAAATTTTGAAGATAAGATTTCTAAAATGAAACACTCAGGATGTGCTCTTCTGCTAACCTTTTTTTTTTTTTTTTTTGTGGCTACATTTCTATTTGTCAAACATACACCATGTCTGTAAATGTTTTACATGTTCAGATGTTTGCATTTTGTCTTGAAATGCATGCATTGAAAATTTTTAAATGTTTTTCTTGATTTGCACAAAGTAGTAGTCTGCAATGTTTCCTCCCAGCTTCTCACCAAAAGCCTCAGCATCAGTTCTATAAATCAGGCCATTC